TCCATATCTAGCTTAACCATGGGCACCTGTTCTCCACGCCAACCTCTGCCTAATTCTGCCTGTCCGTGTCAACTCCCAAATGTATGTCCCTATCCGAAGCTTCTGGCCCCGTGAAAAGTCCTGATCTCTCTCGAAGTCCCGGTCAAAGTTCTTGTCAAATCAAAGGTTCCGTTGGCCAGAGCTGAAAGCCAACTTTCGCCATCTTCCGATCTCGAAGTCACGGTCCTTACCCCGAAGTCCCGGTGTCGCGGTTAGTGTCTTGTTGAGTTCAAATGCTCAGACCGGCCTCAAGGTCTCCGCCGGCCTATCCCAGGTCGCCTAGCCTGAATCCAAGTGCTTTACCTGATCTCGAAGTCCCCACCCGTCTGAAAATCACTGGCTGGTTCCAAATTCCCGGCCTCACCGAATCTCAGATACAAGGGTCCGCCGCGCGGATCTCCCAAAAATCCCGAAGTCCTAGCCCAACGACAAGGTCCCAGTTTGCTTGCCTGTGCTTAGCCCCGTGGCCCTGGAGTCAAGGTGTCCCTTGGTCCTAATCAATTCCTCGGCCCGTGTTCGACTGAATTTCGCAGGCCTGGCAACAGTTCCCTGGTTTCCGTCACGCCCGAAGCCCTGCGACAAGTTCCGTCTCGGGACTTCTCAAAGTATAAGCCAGTTCCAGCCTTGTCCCGACCCGCGACCTCGACTCTCTCCAAAAGTCACGGCCTTATCTGAAGTCGCGGCCCGGTCCTAAGTCGCTGCTCGCACTCGAGGTCCGATCTGGTCTATGGTCTTTGTCTACGCCCAAGGTCCCTGCCTACCCGTGGTCACCGTCTGATCCGGGGCTGCTCGCGGTCACTGTTCACGAATAAGGGCCCTACTTCCCCGTAGTCACTATCCCTTCGCTGGACATGTGTGCGAGCGGGCCGACTCACTTAGCTTCCCACCTACACTCGTGCGAACGCGCATGAGATCGATCCCGACTGTCAGCTCGTCCCGCGTGATTGCGCGTTCGTGTTTGAGCGCGTGTGCGCATCTACTTCGTCCCGAACACAATCGTGTGCGCGTGATCACCCGCAAGGTCTCCCGCCCGATCCGGTCGTGCTCGCTGACTGTCTGTGCTCACTTCGTTGCAATCCCAACTCACGAGTGCGGTGGCTACTCAAGTTACTACTCTATCACGACCTCGGCTGTCCGAAAGCGCGCACATTAGTTAGCGAGTGCCCACACCTGCCCACAACTTTCCGAGGATGGGCAGTGACCGCATGCGTCGCTTTCACGCTGCGTTGGCGCGCGAGCTGTTGTGTGTCGTGCCCTGGTCCCTCTGCGGCCCCGATCTCATCCGCGTAGTGTGCGTGATGATGAACTCGTCTGCGCGCAGCTCCTATCTCGTTCGCACAGTGCACGCGATGGTGCGCCCGTAGGTGCTCATGCCCGACCCCGTTCGCGCTATGCGCGCGATGGTGCACTCGTCTGTGCCGAACTCCTATCCCGTTCACCTGGTATGCACGACGGCACGCCCGTCGGCACCCAACTCCTATCCTATTTGTGCGGTACGCACAATGGTGCGCTCGTCGGCGCACAACTTAGACCCCTTCGCGCGATGGTGCGCCCGTATGTGCGCAACTCCTTTCCCATTCGCGTAGTGTGCACGATGGTGCGCTCGTATGTGCACAGGCCCGACCCCGTCTGCGCCACACGCGCGATGGTGTGCTCGTTTGTGCCCAACTCCTATCCCGTTCACCCGGTATGCACGATGGCGTGTCGGTCAATGCCCAACTCCTGTCCCGTTCGCGCGGTACGTACAATGGTGCGCTCGTCGGCGCACAGCCTTGACCCGTTCGCGCGATGGTGCGCCCGTCTCCGCGCAACTCCTTTCATGTTCGCATAGTGTGCGTGATGGTGTGCTCGTCCGTGCGTGACTCCTTTCCTGTTCATGCAGTGTGCGCGATGGTGCACTAGTCCGTGCGTTGCTCCTTTCCCGTTTGTGCAGTGTGCGCGATGGTGCTCTAGTCCGTGCGCAACTCCTCCCGTTCGTGAAGTGTGCGCGATGGTGCGCTCGTCGGTGTGCAACCTCGACCCCGTTCGCGCGATGGTGCGCCCGTCCGTGCGCTGCTCCTATCCCGTTCATGCAGTGTGTGCGATGGAGCGTTCGTCCGTGCGCAACTCCTCCCATTCTACTCCTCCACTAGCGCGCTTGGGAGTGCCTTCTCCCCGAGTCTGCTCGTGCGCCCCTCCTATGCGCCCTTGTGAGCGCAAGTCCGTGTGCAAGTACGTGCACATGTGCGAAGTGTCTCCTCCCTCTGCTCGTAGGTGCGCATCTGCCAAAAATGCCCCGACCTTGAGCCCGGTTGGGCTTTTATCCTTTGCTGGGCTCTCTTCTCGGTGTGCCCCAGCTTCTTCATGTGATCTTGGGTTGCCGACAATGTGTAGCACCCGGTACCAGGCCTGCGCCCGGGCCTGTTTGGGTCTCCGAAGGGTTTTCTAATGAAGGGGTCCTTTTTGTCTGGTACCGGGCCTTTTGCAGCGCCCTGGTACCGGGCCTCCTTCCGAGGCTAGGTCCGGGCCTGTGCTAGCGTGGTCCCCACGCTAAGGGTACTGACCTTATGAAATTTTGCAGCCCAGAACCCGGATTTAATAATTCAGTGGCGCTTTCTCCCCGCTTTAGGCCCGTAGGTCTCCTTAGGCCTTTTTCTTAGGGCCACATGCCCAGGCCCCAAGCGTGCTCGAGCAGCAATCCCATTTCGGTTCTACCTCCATAATGAGCCTCGGCGTCGATTTGCCAATCAGTTCCCCCGAGGGCCTGCCTTAAAGACCCAAGCCCCTCTTGTCTGGCCTATAGCCCCGACACTCAAGGTAACCCTGGTCTCCTTGTTCCCGTTGGTCTTCTGTAGCCCCCGATCTTCCTCTGTAACAGTCGCCCCTCCACGCCTTGGTAACGATGAGCCTCCATAGTGCGCATAAGGAGGGCACTTACTTAGAACTCAGGGATCCGCTTCTTCTAAACGCTTCGGCCTCGATTCTTGTCACGTGAACCCGATACTATATCCTTCGGTGTTGGCTGCGATCCTACCAGGGAAATTGACCGACTCCAATCCCCATCTACTGTTATCCTTAAGGAAGTAAAGAGCGGCGTAAGGCTGGAGCCGCCCAACAACGTATAGTAGAGTACAATGTCGTAAAGTAGAGTAGAACACAATGTCACAGAGTAGAGTAGAAGGTCGTAGACTAGAGTAGAATAGAGTGTCATAAAGTGTCGTAGAGTAAAGTGCGTGTGTATGTATGTGCGTGTGCGTATCACGTGTGTGTGTGTGTGTGCGTGTGTGTGTGTGTGTGTGTGTGTGTGTGTCTGTACGTGTGTGTGTGCGTGTCACATGTGTGTGTGTGTGCGTCTAAGTGGTATCGCGTGGCACTTCGGGCCAGGATACCACCCCGGCTGCTCTTTCGGCCCACATTTGCACCCACGGCCCCTAGGTGTCCGCGCCGGCCTACCAGCCCGTGCCCCGGCTGTCCCGTACGCCTATAAGTGCGCCAATCCTACCACCAGTCGCACGCGCTGACCAGAAACAAGAAAAGAAACAGACTTTTACCCCTAACCAGACCCGTAACATGGTCCGGGCCGGTCGGCTAGACCGGCCGCCTATCTCAACCAGAAGAAATCACACGCGCGCCTCAAAAATTGCGCGCCCACATAATCCCTACCGGGACAAGGCAGACGTTTGCCCGCGCATGGGCGACCCTCACATTTCCCGCACGGGCACTCAAAATCCAGGTTAACCGAGCCTTTCTGTCACTTGCAAAAACCAGGGCGGATACCCTTGTAAGGGTATTCGCACCGACAGCGGGCCAACAAGAAAACTACTCCAACTTCAACGGTTTTTCACGCTAAAAGAAAAACGTCAGGAAATCTGAGAATAGAAGGGTATATAGATTTCGTAGTGATCTTTCTAGAAAAAAATACTAAAAAAATTTAAAAATTTCATTTCAACTACAAAACATTCCATGGCTGCAATTTGATGCATGTAACTTTTTACCGCTTGCCAGCTCTCCCCACTGTGCTACCGGTAGCCCTCATGAGCGTGTGCTACCGGTCCCCCCAAATTTTGAACGACAGGGCCAGTGGTGGCTTAACTATTGATTAAGAAAAAAAGAAATTCATAAGCACTTCTTAGGAGGTGCAGGTTTTGTGTGGTGACGCATGATATGGATCCAAGTCCGAACTGTGGGGGGAAGGGGGTTGGCCCACAAATTTGGAAAATTACTACTCTACGACACACACACACACACACACACACACACACACACACACACACACACACACACACACACACACACATACACACGCATAGGGGCACACACACACCTACACAAAGACTCACAGATGGATGTGGGAAGCCGCGCGTGCTAGTCATAGGGTTGGGCTTAGCCCTATCTAGTGGTTACGGCGTTGGATTTGTGACACGGAGATACGGGGATCGAGACTGGCGGACGGCGGCAGGGGAGCAACGGAGCAGCGAGAAGTAGAGGGGTCGAGGGTCCCGTGGGACTATCCCCCTTTCTTCCTTTTTTTTTCTTCTGGAGAGGGTATGACTGCGGCCCCTCACTGAAGGGCTATGAGAGCACTAGTCGGGCCCGCGGCTCGTTTCCCCCTCCAAGAGGATCCCCCGTCGTTGTATTTGGGGGCCATCGTAAGCCCTTTCCTCTGCTAATTAGTTCAGAGCCATTAAGGGGTGATAACCGCGCTCGGGGCCAGCCGCAAAATTGTTGGGTATGCCCTCGCGCTGTCGAGGCGCAGGCCCACGCCTAAGTTGGATGACGGGGCCGGGTGATAAAATTTGAAAGTCTGAGTTTTGGAGAATTGGCCGACTTTGCTGACGCGGCCACGGGGGAGGTCTAGGAGTGATATAAAAAAAGATTTAGTTAACCCCTACGCGAGATTCACGTGCATAAAGCCCAGAGGGGGGGGCCAAGGGTACGGGAGACCCCGTTTCGACTGGCGGAATGCAACTTGTTGGCATTGTGGCGAGGTGGGCCACACCGTACGATTCTGCCAACAGCGGCGGGACGACGAGCTGGCAGGACTAATCTCCACCTGTATGGATGGGGAAATATACGATCGATGGGGAAAGCACATCGATCCCAAGACTCCGGGAGGAATCAGGCAGGAAGCCCTCAGGCGAGCGGCGGCAGGGCCGCCAACAGCCCCGACTATGTTCAGAGTATGGCAAGAAAGGGAGGATCCGGGTGTGAGGGCCGAAGAAATTGTGGATGAAAATGAGGAAGTGACTCAACGGCTAAAGGCGGGGACTATAAAGGAGGAGCCTATAGTCGTTGAGTCAGACGATGAGGCGCAGGAGGTGGTGAGAGAGTTAGCCTCGACCATCCTGGAAAGAATGGAGGACCTGCTTGCAAAAGTCGGCAGGTATCAGGAACGGCTAAGGGCGATGTGCGAAGAGGCCCGGGAATGGGAAATGAGCCTCCCTGAGGTGATGCTCTATGGGTTTGGTCCGGAGTCGTCATCAGGACCGCAAGGGTGTCCAAGCGTGGCGACGGCCGCGGTAGGTCCTAGGTCAGGGATGACCTTCAAACCCCCTACGTCGCATGGGAGGGTACCACAGGCCGCGCAGACTAGGGGCCAAAGTAAGGCTACCGCTAGTCAAGGGCCCAGCCAAGCACCTGGTTCGGCGCCTCCTCGAAAGGCCCCTGAGCCTGAACGAAGGAAAGAAGTGGTAGAGGTTCAAGAAGAGGAGGATGAGGGTGATGACGAAGAGGATGAGAGGCTCCGCCAGGAAGAAGATCGGCGAGCTGAGCAGAGGGCCAAAAAGAAAGGGATTCAGGGAGGGGCGGAGCCGAGCCTGCACGATGGCGTGCCAAAAAGGAAGAAGTACGTGGTCCGGCTGGAGGAGGGCTTTGACGTGGAGCGAATGGTGGACAATCTCTTGGAAGGCCACAACGATCTGATGAATTTAAAAGACATCCTGGCGTCAGCGCCAAGACTCTGTGGCGAGATGAAGGGGCGGCTCTCGCGGAGGCTAGTGCCCAACGTCCACCTGAGCTCAATTCTGACCAGGGAGATAGAGTGGACTGAGGCGGGCACCAAGATGGACTGGAAATGTGTGGCATGTGGGTTGGTTGATCTGAAGGTGAGAGACCAACCGAGCATCGCAATGGTGGACACGGGCGCCGAGATGAATATCATCCGGGAGTGGGACGCGACTATGCTAGGGCTGGAGGTGGATCATTCGGACCATGGTGTGCTGCATGGCGCCAACTGCAAGGCCATTTTCTGCGGCACCACGTCCAATGTGATGGTGAAGATTGGGAGGGTAAGGGCACGAACGTGCTTCTTCGTCATGCCCGATGTCGACCACCCTATCCTTCTAGGGAGGTCGTTCCTATGCCGAACGGAGACCTTGGTCTTCAACAGGCATGAGGGGACGATGATCCTGGCTTTATCCGATCCGGCCTGCGGGAATTACGAGATTATCAAGTGCCAGAACACAGGGCCGGGAAGTGTGAGGAACATGCTCAACCTCAGCTCCTTTATCTTCGAGGAGTCTGAGTACGCGCGATGGAGACTCCGGGAGCAGCAGGAGGAGGAAGGAGCAGGCAAGGTGTTGTCCCTGAGCCGTAACGATGTGAATAAGGCAATGGAGGTGGTGGCGGCGCATGATATGGCGGACCCTGAGGCTATAAAGGCCTTGAGGGAGCAGGTCCAGGAAAGCCCTCAGGTGGGAGAAGTGGAGCTAATTTATCGGCTTCCCGGGAGGAAAGGGGACCCTGCGATGGCCCAGGCCCGAACGACAAGTCGGCCTTTTTTAGGGGAGGGCTTAAGCAGGGCTCCCAAAGGCGGTACAAGACTATAGATAAGAATTGCCGCCCAGTCCCCGTGCTTGTCACGGAGGATGAGGAAGCCTATTATGAGCGGGAGCGAGGGCTGATAAGATGTATGCGTGAGCGTGCGCAGGCAGGGCCGTGCCGCATCAATGACGAGAATGAGGAGGGGCTGATAATTGGCGAGCCTGGCTTCCTTTCCCCCCAGGAGAGGACCTTGATGGTAGGGACCATGAAGAGGAGGCATCGCGAGTATGCGTTTAATGATGATGAGCGTGGGAGGTTGGACGTGGATAAGATCCCAATGATACGAATCCATACCGTCTCACACGAGCCATGAAACCTGAGAGGCGCGCGATATCCGAATCCAGATGAGGAGAAGAAGGTGGTGGACTATCTGGATGGGAAGATGCGGACTTACGTGGCAGACAATTCCAGTGGACCGTATGCCTCCCCTTGGTTTTGTTTTATCAACCGAACGGAACGGTACGGTGGGTGCAGGATTTGCAACGATTGAATGCAGTGAAGGTGCGGGACGCGAAAGGATTGCCGAACGTGGACGCCCTGTCAAAGTCATGCGCAGGGAGGCCTATAATCTCACTTAGAAACCTTTATTCTGGGTATGACCAGTTTTCTGTGTACCCGCCGGATAGGCCGGTGACGGCGATGCATACGCCAAGGGGGCTGATCCACATGAACATGGCCCCTCAGGGGTGGACTAATGCGTTGGCGATGGTGCAAAGGCACATGATTAGGGTCATGCAAACGGTTAGTCCACATATTACTCAGCCTTACATTGACGATCTGGCGGTCAAGGGTCCAAAGGAGAAGGAGGAAGACAAAGTGATGCCAGGAGTGAGGCGGTTCATCTGGAAGCACATCCAGGATATCAATCAGGTTTTGGGTCTGCTGGAAGAACACAACCTGACGGCGAGCGGCCCCAAGTCGAAGCATTGTATGAAGGAGGCCACGATTTTGGGCTTTGTCTGCAACGAGAAGGGGCGGAGGCCAGATGTGAAGAAAACGGACAAGACCCTAGAGTGACCAGTCCCCTTCCAGTCAATAACGGACATGAGGAGCTTCATTGTGACCTGTGGGTTTTGGAGGAGTTTTGTGAAGGACTTCGCCACCAAGACGGAGCATCTAAGGAAGCTGGTGCGTCGGGATCAGGAATGGGTCTGGGGCGAAGACCAGGAAAAGGTTATGGAAAGGATGAAGAGAGAGTTCAAGGAAGGAGGCTTAGTGCTGGGAGCGCCAAATTTTGAGGCCACGGAGGAAAAGTCATTCGTTGTCGAGACGGACGCTCGGCCAACTGCCTAAGGAGGGCTCCTGATCCAAGCAGATGCGGATCGGAAGAAGAGGCCGCTAAGATTTGAAAGTCGTACCCTCAATACGACTGAGAGGAATTACTCCCAATTTAAAAAGGAGACGTTGGCGGTACTTCACTGCCTGAGGACCTTCCGGAACTATATCTTTGGCAGGAGGCTCATCTTGAGGGTGGACCCGACCGCGTTTGCGTGTTCCCTGAAAAAGTTATACTCCATTTGACCCAACCATCGAGAGGTGGTTGACTTACATTTGGATGTTTAACTTCGAATTGGAGAGGATTCCAGGGAACAAAAACAGGGCAGATCGGTTGAGCCGTATCAACTGGGACGGGGTGAATCAGGAGTCAATTGAGGATACCCCACCAGTCGACGGGTTCCTGGACCAAGAGGAGGACGTCCGCCTCCACATAAACGAATGGTCGCTGAGGGTGCCTAGCTGTGTCATGCATCCCATATGGCTAGCACCAAGGGGGTACGAGCGAAAGGAAGAGCTGGTCCTCAAACCTTTCCAGGAGGAAGATCCGTGGGGGAGTAGGGATGTTGGCTGGATGATGAAGTTGGCATTGGCAGGCACGCATAGCTTGGCGGAAGAGGTGAGGGCGATAGAGGAAGGGCCAACCCAGGTAGAGGAGCATGAACAATTAATGGGAGGGATGTACTTGCTCACTAATACGCTCCTGCAGGGGAACTTTAACCAGAGGAGCTCAGCCAGTTCCGAGGAAAGCGAACTTCTTATTCCTGAAAGTCAGGACGACGAGTTTGAAGAGGGAGAGATTAGGGAGGCCTTCCGTGTTAAGGAGTATGACGGGATCTATCGGGAGTTGGGGTAACTCCTGTCGTGCGAGATAAGGGATAGGGATGCAAGTGCTAAAACCCAGAAGATGAGGCATCTCTACGTAGTAAGAGATGGTCATCTGTTTATAAAGCGACAAGTTGGGAACCCCAAGAGGATCGTATGTGGGAGGAACCGGCAGATCGATGTCATAGCAGCCTTACACGATGGTATAGCAGAGGGGCACAGAGTAGTTAGTGCCACATGCGCAAAGATAAGTGAGTTGTACCATTGGGATGGAATGCTGACTATGGTCATCAAGTATTGCCAGTCCTGTGTACCTTGCCAACAGAGGTCAGCGCAAAGGCATGGGGAGTCTCTGCACCTCAGGCTGGAAAGGGAAGTGGGTGCAGTTGTACACCTGGACCTGTTGTTCATGCCACTCGGGGAGGATGGAAGTAACTATATCTTCGACGCACGGGACAACCTTACCGGGTTTGTAGACGGTCGGGCTATTCGTACGAAAACTGGCCCAGTGTTAGCAAGATGCATCGAAGAGTACTACCTGCGTTATCCATTTGTTAGAGAGTTTGTGATGGACCAGGGGTCATAGTTCACCTGTAACGAGGTACGGACCTTACTTGTGGGGTATGACGTGGTAGTGAACTATGCTACTGCCGCGCACCCCCAGGCGAACGCGCCTGTGGAGAAAGGGTATAGTACCATCACAAATCTCTTGGCTAAGTGGACTGAGGGGAGGCCTAACCAGTGGCCGAAGTTCTTGAGAGTGACATTTCTTCGTGGAAAATGTTACAGTGAAAAGGACTACCAAGTATGCGCCAACGACGATATGGTACGGAAGGCATGCCACCTTTCCCATAGAAAGCTTTATGAAGACGTGGAGGCGCCAGGACCTGGAAGTGAACTTGTCCTTTGAAAAGAACTGCTCGATATACGGGCGCGGCAGGTGGGAGCCGCTGAGGAAAGGTTACGAGAGGCCGCTGGTCAGATAGAGAGAAGTCGTATGGAGGACAAGATGAGATGGGACCAGATGGCCCAAATAAGGAAGGACCCGCTGGAAGTGGGAGACGTGGTACTGCTATATGACTCCTCGCTGGAAAAAAAATGGTCCAGGAAGCTAGATAAGCGATGGTTGGGGCCCTATAGGATCGTGCGGTGTGGCGAGTTTGGGGCCTACCAAATTGAAGAGCTGGATGGGGCAGGGTGGAAGGACTGGGTATCGGGGACAAGGCTGAAGAAGTTCGTGGCCAGGGAATAGGTAAGGCACCACGAGACCTCGTTAGGAATAGAGTCTCGCCTAGGCTCTACCCTCGTCAAATGATTGGATAGGTGGGTGATTAGGGTGGATGGGTGTGGAGTTTGTGTGGGATTTCCCCGAGCCAATGGGCTCAGCTGCTGACCCTGTTGTGTGCCTGTTTGGTGTCTCTCGCCTGTTGTGCAGGTCTGACTTTTCGAAGGCAGTCATGCAGAGGGGCGGGAGGGACACACGGTCGCGGCAGGGGCCCCAGGGAGTAGCAGGGAGAGGCGAGCAGCATGAGTCGCCTAGGAGGGAGCCTACGCCTGAGTTCGACGATGATAACATAGAGTTTTTCCTGGACGTATATCGGGATCATGTGGCACAGAGAGGGTGGTCAGTGGCGGAGAGGATCCACCACTTGAGGGGTATAGGGTGGTTTGAGGAGCCTGTCGCTCAGATATGTGAGGAGGCCTTGACTTGGCCGGATGTAAAGGCCGGGATGCAGAGGTTGAGAGCTTCCCTTAGAGGGCGCGATGGAGGAGGGGAACGCGGAGGATTTCATTCCCGCATATGAGCACTACATGTTGAGTCAGGGGATTGCGCGAGAGGAGTGGGTGCAGGCCCTACTTATCTGGACGAGGGGGGCAGAGAGGCCAGTGGCCAAACAGATTCGGGAGAGGGCCCGGGACTGGGAGGAATGTCAGGCCCAGCTCAGGAGGGCGTTCGGACGGCTAGAGCGCGAGAGGCACGAGCCCAGAGTCGAGAGGCGACGGCGAAGCAAGAGGCCGAGGGAGCCGGCACCGAGAGAGGTGGGGCTGGCCAGAGAGAGGAGGAGGGTCCCAACACAGCGGGAGGATGAGCCCACAAGCCTCCGGGCGGTTGAGTTTCGACGGATTACGAGCGAGGAGCTGAGACCGCCCTCATCGTTACCATCAGTGCAGGAACTGGATATACCAAGGGAGACGCCATTCCGAAGCTTAGCGACTCATCTTGATGCATCTCGATGGGAGGCCTCACAATTGGGGGAGGGCTCAGTTGAGCCGACGTGCTATGTGCCGTTGGAGGAGCCTTTGAACCCCGAGACGGAGACGGACATGCGAGATTGAGAGGAGCCGCAGAATCCTGAGATGGCAGCCGAGCAGCCAGATCCGGTACGGCCTCAGGGCGGGGAGGTGATCACGGTCGGAGACGATACCCCGCCACACTCCCCAGTTTCAGAGCCAGCACAACACTCATGGCCAGAGGGGATTCTTGAGCCAGGCAGCGAGGAGATTCCGGAGTCTCCCCCTGAGGCCACCGCTATGCCTGAGCAGGAGGCAGAGGCAGAGGATCAGGGAGTGCGTGAGAGAGCGAGGGTGGAGACGCCCCTTGACTTGCCATCGGCCATGCACGTGACCAAGAGCCCGGTTATCGAGGGGCCTGTTCCAGCGGAGCTACCGCCAGCAGTGCCATGCACGAGCGAGGGGATGGGGGCTGAGGCGTCGACTCCGGAGGGCCAGGGGCCGCGAGTGAGAAGAACCCCAAGAGAGATCCGCGACGAGAAGTCCGCCCGAGTGCGGGTCCGTCTAGATGAAATACATGCGAGGCAGGCTGAGATGGAGGCAGCAGGAATAGAGCCGACACCGCCGATCGAGCCCAAGACGAGCGAGCATAGGATCGACGAGTTGTGGGCTAGGTATGAGAGTCAGAGGGATGCAGCCCGCCAGAGGTCACGAGAGGCAGGACAGACGGACGAGGAGACGGGTGAGCTGAGGGAGATGGGGGACTTGGGTTTCTCTGCGACCAGGCAGACGATTGAGCGCATGGATCGGAGGATATGGGAGACGACAGTTACATCCTTCCAGTGGTATAATCTACTCAGCAATGAGCTCAGGGTCATAGAGTTGGAGGGGGAGCACCTGACTACTCAGGTTGCCGAGGAGAGGGTGAGGAGCCAGGCTAGAGAGGTTGAGTGGGAGAGGAGATTTGGGGAGATGGCGACCACTGTGGATAGGCTCTCGGCAGCCTGGGAGGCTAGCCAGGTGGGGCGAGCCGGTGCCGATGGCCAGGGCCGAGGGATGCAGGCTTCGCCGAGTCAGGGAGTAGCAGTAGAGGTCCCTCGACAGGCCGAGCCAATGGAGGAGGTGCCCTTGGACGTAGTTGAGGAGGAGGGTGGCGCGCAGGAGTCGCTTATGGCTATGTCCACGGAGAGGAGAGGTTCGCGTTTGCATGAGCTGGCGGCAACCATGGGGATAGGCACGCCACAAGAGGGGCCTCAGAGACTCGACGCTTCAGAGCATGCCCCGAGGTTGGGAGAGTTGAGGGCGGAGCTGGGCTCCTGGGCCACGGGGACGGACTCAGGAGGGCCCGACTCGCAGCAACAGCAGCAGCAAGAGGCCATGAGTGAGCCCACCGCCATGGGGGGCTCTCAGCCGTCAGGAGCATGTGGGGATGAGGTGGTGGTGACAGAGGGGCCTCATGAGAAGGGCCCCCGAGAGTTGGATATGCCAAACTGCAGGTCAGTGAGCACAGCCGCACGAGGGGGTGAGGGTGCTGAGGCTATGGAGCCCGGACCTCAGGGCCATATGGGATCGTCCTCGTGTCATGAGGTGACTACTGAGACCACGGGGACGCCTTCGGCATCGAGTTCGCGGGGGAGAAAGAAGAAGACTGCCAGGTGGCACGATACCTCCTGTTTTTGGTGCAAGGAGGAAGGGCATAGAGCCGTGGACTACCCAGAACTCCTCGAGGATAAGGCCGAGGGGCGAGTTGCGGAGTTCAACGGCAAGTTCTATGACAGGCAGGGAAGGATAGTAGAGCGAGCTCCAGATGGGGGCATGGCTCAGTTGTATAGGCAGAACCAGGAGGAGTTGTGTAAGTAGGGCCTGGTTTGTCTATGTGTCAGTAGGGACATAGTGATTGGCACACAGGAGGGCGGGTTGGAGGTGTACATATGTTTAGTTGGCTGAGGGGGCCCTAGATGTGTGCATGCTTTAGAGGTGGTAGGATGAGTCCCTGCCTGCTTGTACACATATAGTTGATTGAGGTCTCTTTGCGTTCTTCCTTTCGTAGGCTATGGCTTAGAGCATGGAGGTCAGCCGTAGGACACATGAGGCTATTCAGTCCACTTTTGATTTCGCAATGCCGAGACTACTTGAGTTTGAGAGAGACCTGGGTATGAGTTTTCCCTAGTTAGGTGAGACAGAGGATTAGGCACCCGTTAGATTTTGAGTAGATGTTGTGTCCCCGAGCGTGTTCCGCGGGTGTGATCATCATACTCATCATTATCAAAATCATCATCATCATCATCATCATCACATCATTGGATTCATTAGTATCATCATCTGATTAATGATATATTAAGCTTTTTGGTGTTCTGAAATTTTGACAGCATCTAATATTCTTCCACATTCGGAATATAGAACTTCAAAGATGATTGAAGCTGGACTAATATCTACTGAGTTGCTCTGTTCTGTAACCTTGGTTTGCCGATGCCAGAATGACGCTGGCAGGAGCTGGGGCATAACCCTGTAACCTGCAAATGGCAGGAGTGTGAGGCCTTGTAGAGAGATTTGGGGTTTGCTGAGGGTGGAAGGCATTCCAGTAGTGAATCGGGGGGGGGTGCAAGGTGGCGAGAAGAGATCAGCTAAGGTTGACGTTGGGTAGGTTGGTTTTGTCTCTGAGGTACAGTGTTCTGGTGCAGGGAGGGCTAGGAGTAGTTCAAGGATTAGGAGGCCAGAATAGCTGATATAGCATAATCTTTTATATTTTTTCATATATTTGAATCATTAGTCTCTTTAGCATCATTATCTGTGGTATCATCAGTATCATCAGGGTCATCATCCTCTGGGTAGACTGTGAGGACCCCGGCCTCAATCTTATTATTGGTAATATCAAGCCTTGGGTACCGGGCCCGGTTAAAAAAAAAAAAAAAAAAAAAAAGAGGGTCCTAGATTGGCCTTGGGGTATCCAATGTGTGGCTCTGCACAAGAACCAAAGGTTTTTTAAGGAAGACATGTTGCGCTTTCAGCACCTGCAGGACTATATCTCCTTCTCGTGTAGGGAGCAGAAAATGGCAGTCATTTGCTCTTGCCTTCACAGGGCCAAGGCATATACTACAATGGCAGGGATGGAAGTGGTTTTTCTCCTCAATCTTAAGATTGAGCTTAGGAGGAGGGGCTTCCCTGATGAATACTTTGACAATGCCTTGCGAAATTTCTCCCGGAAATTTGGGGGCATTTGGGAAGACTGGGTCACTTACCTTACAGGTTAGGGAAGCCTGCTAGGGGGAAGAAGAAAAACAGAGAGGGCACTTGAGGGGTAACCGGGTTCGATGTTTATTTTTTGTTTGGTATTTTCCTTTTTTATTTTATTTTTTCAAAAATTCTTTCCAAAACGCATTTAGGGGTGTATTAGGACTGAACGAGGAGGTGGTCTGGTGGTGACTAACGGTACCGGCGGTTCTGTGGGCTTTGTCTTACTTGTCTGAATCTGGCTTCTCGAGTAGGTTGCGTCCATTCGGCAGTTCCCTGTCGCTGTTTGGGTTGGGGGGGACTGTAGTATTCCGGGTTTGTTCTTCCTAACTTGGTCTCTTTGTAGTGCTTGGTCCATTTGATAGTCTTCCTTTTTCTGTACTTAGGACTATTTTTTGTCTTTCTCAAACTTTTCTTCTGATTTCTCTGTCTGCCGCTGACTATTTTCTGGGACTATCCAGGTAGTACTTAAGCTCGTTCGTCTATTCGTTCGGTCCCTTATTCCATGCGACTATTCAGACCCCTGACGAGTTCCGGTTGGCGACCGGACGAAACGCAGCGTCGGGTCGCTGCGCCATGCTTTGCATGCTTATTTTTCGATATGTGGCGGTGTTTTATGATCAATCTTTCGGCCTATTGGTCGCGTTTCGGGACATTGGGACTATGTGTGCTCTTTCTTCTTCGTCATCCCCTTTGTCTTTCTCTTTCGTTTCTCCCTCATTTCTGGTCTTTGCTTATTGCCCTATTGACAAGTTTGTTGTTGCTGTGGATTTGTCCTTTACCAGCCATTCGAGATTTAGCCAAGTTTAGGGTTCGCGGATGCACGTGTAGGCAACGATCGTGTCCAGTCGAGCCTACACGTGTATAAGCAAGCCCCGACCTTCGGTCAGAGGGGCGGAAGCCAATGGTCCGCAAGACGGATCATCCTATAGTGAGACGGCCCTTCCAATAGTCTAGCATGCCTATCCAATTCATGCACAAGCGGGATAACGCCTATCATCCATGCATCTAGTTTTGAATCGAGGTTCATGCAACACTTCCTTGGCCCACCAGCCCGAAATCACGCAAGGTCCAATTGTCGCAGATCAATCAATTAGACCCATCCATCTAAGAGGTCAGAGAAGGGTAGGGAATAAGACAACCATTCATCAATACCCAAGGAGAGAAAATGAAAACATACACATCAATAGAAAAGAGCAAACGACAAGTCCGAATGCCGATCCAGAAAGGAAAAAGAGGGGCGACTTGCGCCGAATACCAAAACTGCTTAGACGGAAAGAAGAAGAATCAAAATGGCTTAGAGGGATAGAAGAAGAAGCCCGTTGCACACTTCCCGTCTCTCTCTCTCTCTCTCTCTCTCTCTCTCTCTCTCTCTCTCTCTCTCTCTCTCTCTCTCTCTCTCTCTCTCTCTCTCTCTCTTCTCATTACCCCGATGCGGGCAGTCCGTCGCCTCACACCCACACAGAGTGGTCACCCCGCTTGATCCAAGCATGCAACCCAGGTTTTCCCGTGTGCCACAATCCGTCGAGGCCCCACGTCAACTCCACAAGCGTCGGATCGCCCAACTCTCTACTCACCTGCCAGCTTTGGCTCGTTATCCGATCCTCTCGACCGCGCTAACTTCCAAAAATTCTTAGTGAGGGAGTTAATCGTGCTTACGAAATTTATAGCATGCATGCGTGTGCGCGCAATACCCGGGATTGTGTATGAGTACGGGGAAAAAGGAGGAAGGGAGTGCCTATGACTGCATGGCCAGGCCGCGGCGTGGGGGACGTAGCCTCACTCCACACATCGATCCGGTCGTGCACGCGTTCAGGCCAATAGGACAGAGGAAGAAGTACGTGCACACGGAGATTCCACAAAAGATACCAAGAGCGAGGGAATTACAGTTGCAATTGTGCCCGCCAAAACATAACTTATAGTTGCACTCAGGATTAAGGCGCGGAGAAATCAGAGCATAGATCTTGATGCGGCATGGTGTGCGCAAGCAAGAATCGTTGTGCAACAGAAATTGAGGCGAGCCTAAATTCCTAATTCTTATTCCTAGTTGTAAAAATAAATTCCGAACGAAGCAATTTCGGAGAGCCCGCGGGGGTTCAACATCAGTTGAAAATTCAAAAAAGATTTCCCCGCGCGACAATCACGCTAAGCTATGGCAACAGTTATTCGTCACGCTCGCTAAGGCGCGATCAACTACCAACCGTCGTGGGACCAGGCCAGCCCACCCCCCGCCCCTTTTCCCAAAGGACGCGAAAGCACAAGGATGCGTAAAGCAAGGGCATCCACGCAATTCATCAGGCCATCCCGACTCAACCTGTTTCAACCCCCAACGTAGCCTCGCGCAGAAGATCGCGTGGTTGCAGACAGTAGTTCGTCATAACCCGTGGAGGGCTATGCAGGCTATATGTAGGACAGTCTTGCTGCCCTGTGCACTGATCGCTATATGATGTCCATTGTTAGGTGTCTACAAAATACTGCATATGCCAGAATCCTCTGTTTCCTTGTGGCCGATAGCCACACCGAGTCTGTGGGTGGGGACCGCCGACAGTGATAGTGGTTCATTTTGTCGATAGTTGTGAGCACCGTACGACCATGGGCGAGGCAGTGATTGCAAGGGGGATCAGACCTTCGCTGACAACATGTGCATCGGGTGGGAAAATTTCAACGACTATCTTGTAGAACGAGATTAATTTTACCCTAATTAGACTTATTGAACTTTTTCCAGGGGCAGTGGGGGAGGGGGTTGACTATTTGACGTTGATGATACCTCCCTCACCCCTAAAGCTGGAGGTTTTTTTCTGGATGCACGCTGTTTTTTAGCAGGGGATGCCCTCGAGGGAGGGGAATTAATCCTCTTCATCCTGATGGATCCTTCTTCTGTACATGGTGTCCAATTACGACTGTCCACTGGCCGAAAATCCTCTCTCTCTGGTCCGGATGAGTTAATGGATGCAGGGCGATCGGACCTAGCATCCTTTAAATGATAGAGATTCTTAATACCGAGATCCGATTCATAATCTCACTCATCCTGGGAGGATGTATATGCATTGTTTACAAATACCCGGGAAGGGGGGTCATGGGGTTGAGAGTCACCCTCTGACTGGGCTATGGAATCCTCCTATTCTTCGTCCTCCATTTCGGACCCTTCGTGCAGAACAATCTCGTTTCGTTTTACTATAAAGTCATGTTCAGTCAGATCTTCCCTCAGTTCCCTGTCTTCATTTTCGTCATCCTGTTTGCATTTTTCCCGCATGGGAGTAACACGGTCTTCGTCCATCTTTTCCATGTGGTCGACAAGAGTTTTTTCCTTTGTCTTTATCCTCCTACCCCTCCTCGTTCTCTCTGTGCTCCGCCACTGTACCCTCCACCTTCTTATCCTTCTCCTTGTCTAGTATGGATTTGTCCATGTTCGCCTCTTTCGCAAGCCGGAATACCCTACCAGAAAAGGGGTTTTCGGGGGGCATACTCACACTGCAAATTTGTTTTTATAGCTCGGACGTGATTGCAATCAGATTCATCCAGGTATGATATCGTAATTGCAGCCAGATACATTTTGGGATGTGCTTGTTTGAGTATGCCCTCCATGACACAACACTTTTTGCTTCCTTTCACACAGATACGCAACAGGGCAAGGAATAATAAGTAGTAGATATAGCCCACTGCAAAACCTATTTGATTTTGGACAACGGTATGTGCATGGCCCGGTACTTCACGCCCAAGCAAAAGGCAGTGGGAAACTTTTGTCCTGCCTTAGGCCAGCAACTGTCCTACGCTCATTTCCCAACTAGTTCACTCGACCGCAGTCACGTCACTTCACATCACGGTTGTCAACCGTCCTCGCACGACAACCGTTTCCATCGTTTTCATCACCACCTAGCAAGCCTTAGATTTCGGGCATCTACGACGGCCGTACTTGGCAGCATTACCAGTATTCTACTCAGCCCACGATTCCGGACATCTACGACTCAAGCC